CCGTTCCCACCGTCCCGCAATGGCGAATCCCGTCTTGCCGTCTTGCCCGTCTTCCGTTCGGCGACCGTCTCCTCGCGTGCGCGGCTTCGGACGAGGCTGGTGATGCGAATCGAAACGTTGGACTTCAAAAAGCCTCGGAGGCTCGGGGGCCACCGGGGACGTGCGGTCGTTAGCGGGGGCGGTCGTTAGCGGGGGGGGGGGGGGGCACCGGGTGCGCAGGAGCGCTGGCTGGTGTGCCGCCAAAAAGGCTTCATCTAGGAGTGGTCTCTGGCTCCATGGGCACCATGGGCACCCGCAACCAAAGAAGTCCTTGAAGGGTGTTTTGTGGCTCTTTTCTTGGTGGGCGGGGTTTAGTTGCATTCGGGCTCCCGCTGCCAGATTGCGGACCTATGGCATGGTCAGACCAGGCTGCCAGGACTTTGGAGATCCGACCTGCTCTGGGGCCCCAGCCCATCCCAGGCCCCTCAAAATGTCCATCAGAGCATGTTCACCCAGTTGCTCCAACCATCCACCCCTCCACAGATGCGCCATGGTCGCACATGCGTTGCGAGGCCCTCCTATGGGAGCCGTTTGGGCCTGGGAAGCCCCAGTCGCCCACGTCGGCACACCATCAGTGGGAGCACTCATGTGGGAGCACTTCAGCGGCCGTCGGTGGCGGAAGACATCACTCTGTGAAGTCGCCCAACCGGATGTGGCGCAGAACGGTGTTCTTGATCATGGTTGCTCTATAGTAGCCGCATGAAATGCCCGATAAAGACCTGCAACCTGAGTGACCGATTTTTTCCACGAACCTCCCAACATATGGTCCATTCCTATCAAGGCAGGCATCAAATGGCTCAAGGTGCATCTCAGGAACTACTCGACCTTCAGATGTTGGTTGGTATTTTCCACATGCCTTGGGCCTTGAGTGTGTCACAGAAGGGCTTCCCCGGGTCCAGAGATCTGCCGGACCTGCCAGACCGCTTTCTTGGATTCAAAGGATGGAATAGGATGGCGCCAAGCGGTAAGTCTCGCTTCTGACACTTAATTCACTTGACTTCTCTGCCGCTGTGCCAGGCTAGGGGGTTCTATGTGTTGTTCGTAGCATAGTTCAACATTTCATCAAACAACTCATTCTTGAGATTCTTACTCTAGACATCTGGATCTGAATCTCGCATGATGGCTTAAGATTACACTGGCCCGTTGCAAAGCCTGCCGCCACATCGTTCGCAAACGCCACGGCTGGTTAGATCTGGGTCGCTGGATCGACGCCTTGAGCACTGAAGGTTCGAGACAAATCAAGCGGCGGTCAGGCAGTCAGGATTGGAGGTACCCCGATTCGGGATGCATCGGGACCCGTGGGATCATGGATCTACTGTGTGTTCCTGGGATAGGGTCGAAGGCACTGGGTCTCAGCCGTCAACTTGCGCGAACATATATTACGAAAGCCAGCCTTCGTAGAAGGCGCTAGCGGAGTTGTGTCTGGCGAACGAAGTGAGTAGTTAGGGGGTCTGGGGGGGTGGCCCGAGAAAGGTGTACGTCAACTCAGCACATGCTGGGGGAGGAGGGTGCTCCGAGGGAAGGTTTTTTGAGGTTGTGTTGGAGGTGATTTTTGAGGGGTGGTGATGCAAGAAATGCCAAATGCATCATTTGCATCATCTGAATGGAAAGGTGTAGTTGGCACCTTGCAAGGTAGAGAGACCTAGGGTAGCTATAGTGCAGCTACCAGGTATAGTACTTCAAGTTCCCTTTCCGTCAACCGCTTGAGAACCTCTACACACGCACAGCAATCCACAGCCTTGAAGTCTCATTCGTGCTTTGAACTTGTATAGGTGTGTAAGAGGTATAGCAACATACTATTTATACGGACCCAGGGTAGCTACAAGTAGCTACAGTTCTGGTATGGCGCGCATGAGGCTTCAAAGCTGTGGTTTTCAAGCTAAAGTCAAGGTGGCCTGAGACCAGGGTTTGCTGCCCTAAAACACTCTGTTCAGGCCACCTTGAAAATAAAGGTG